CCTCAGCACTGACCCCCTGACAGTGCAGCACTCCCTCAGCACTGACCCTCTGACAGTGCGGCACTCCCTCAGCACTGACCCTCTGACAGTGCGGCACTTCCTCTGTATTATTCTGGGAGTGCTAGCTTGAATTTTGCAGTCTTGTTTATGCAGTGGGTAGACGACTTGGCCTTCTGACTCAGAGGCAGGATGGCTACTCTCTGACACAGTGAGATCATGGATATTAACTGGATGCTGGGTAGACCCTCAGTGTGCTTCTGTATTCCCTGAAGTACCTTTTAGCAATTATTACAAGATGGCATAAATACCCCGTGGAGAGACTTGGAGTTGGTGTCCTTGGTCACGTTCGGATGCTGCTCCTTGTGCCGGAGGTACGGTGAGGACGGTGTTGTGATCACTGTTGCTGCTCCAGCTTCATTGCTTTGGAGAGGGAGGAGTCTCACCGGACGCTGCAATTTCCCTGGGGCTGTGCTGGGCCGTGGGGACGAAGGCTGCAATCCAAACAGTAAATTACAGGACAATCAGCATGGTCCTGAAACACAACTGGGAGTGCAGCCTTCATCCTAAATGATTACTTTGGCCAACCTTTTCATTTCTTCCCCTACCTCAGTCCAGAAGTTTATGTACCTCTCAATGGCTGAATTAATTTTCAAGAGATGGTTTCTTGAACAATATTAAATCCCAATGGGAAGAAGTATGAAATACCAAGAACAGGAAGCAATGCTCCAGATGTATAAAGCCGTGGTCATTGGAACAAGGGAAGCCATTCAGACCCTTTAGCCTCTGCTGTCACCACTCACAGTCACAGAGATATACAGCACGGAAACAGATCCTTCAGTCTATCTCCTCCATGCCAACCAGACATCCTATAGAAATCTAGTCCCATTTGCCAGCATTTGGCCCATATTCCTCTACACCTTTCCTATTCATATAACCATCCAGATGGCCTTTTAAATGTTGTAATTATACCAGACTCCATCATTTCCTCTGGCAGCTCATTGCATACACGCACCACCCTCTGTGTGAAAAAGTTGCCCCTTAGGTTCCTTTTATATCTTCTCCCTCTCACCTTAAAGATATGCCCTCCAGTTTTGGACTCCCCCAGCCCGGGGAAAAGACCTTGTCTATTTATCCTATCCATGCCCCTTATGATTTTACAAACGTCTGTAAGATCACCCCTCAGCCTCTGACACTCCAGGGAAAATAGACCCAGCCTCTTCAGCCTCTCCCTATAGCTCAAACCCTCCAATCCTCGTAAATCTTTTCTGAACCCTTTCTAGTTTCACAAATCCTTCCTATAGGAGGGAGAACAGAATCGCATGCAATATTCCAAAAGTGGCCTAACCAATGTCCTGTACAGCTGCGACATGACCTCCCAACTCCTATACTTAATGCACTGACCAATAAAGGCAAGTGTACCAAACACTTTCTTCACTATCCTACACACCTGCAACTCCACTTTCAAGGAAATATGAACTCACAGTCCAGGTCTCTTTGTTCAACAACATTCCCCAGGACCATACCATTAAGTGTATTAGTCATCTCCTGATTTGCCTTTCCAAAACGCAGCAGCTCACATTTATCTAAATTAAACTCCATCTGCCACTTCTCAGCCCACTGGCCCATCTGATCGTTGTACATCGTTGTACTCCGAGGAAACCTTCTTTGCTGTAGAATTACTACACTCCCAATTTTAGTGTCATCATGGCTGATCTCAATCTTAAGTGTGCCTCCCCACATGCAAACCATTAGCAGCAAAACCTGAAACAAAAATAGAGATTGCTGGAAAAGCTCAGCAATTCTGGCAGAATCTATGAACAGAAATCAGAGTTAACATTTTGGGTTCAGAGCTGCAGTTATGAGGAAGTGTCACCGGACCCAAACATTAACTCTGATTTCTCTTCACAGGTGCTGCCAGATCTTTTTCAGCAGTCTCTATTTTTGTTTCTGATTTACAGAAGTTTTCTCAGTTTTTATTTAGCAGCAAAAACTTGTCCATCTCAGATTGAAAATTTTCATTGAGTTTGCTTTTGCTGCTGTGTGTGTTCGGGTTCTTGTTCTTTATCACCCTTTGTGTAAAGATGTGCTTCACACTTTCAGCCTTGAGTGGACATACGAACATTAGAATTACAAGCAGAAGTAGTTGCTGGAGATCTGAGACTCAGAGAATGGTGGAGAAACTCAGCAGGACTGGCAGCATCTGTGAAGTGAGAAACAGAGTTAATATTTCAACTCCCGCATGACTTCTTCAGAACTCTGTTGTTTTATTCTATTCAGAACTTCAGAAACATTCAATAAAAACTGAAAGAACTGTGGATGCTGTAAATTGGAAACAAAAACAGCAGTTACTGGAAAAGTTCAGCAGGTCTAGCAGCATCTGTGAAGAGAAATCAGAGTTAACATTTCAGGTCCGGTGACCCTTTCTCAGAACTGATGGAAGCTTGGAAAATGTCAGTTTATATGCAGAAGATAGGGTGGGAGGAGGGGGTAAGGAGTGAATGATAGGTGGGGATAGAGCCCAAAGAGAGAGAAGAACAGTTGAACAGACAAAGGAGTTGATAACGATCTGGCTAGAAGGGTGAACAGCTGTTAAGAACATAAGAACATAAGAACTAGGAGCAGGAGTAGGCCGTCTGGCCCTTCAAGCCTGCTCCGCCATTCAATAAGATCATGGCTGATCCTTTCGTGGACTCAGATCCACTTACCCGCGTTCTCACCATATCGCTTAATTCCTTTTATTGTTCAAAAAAAACTACCTTTTGTAAAAAACATTTACTGAAGTAGCGTCAACTACTTCACTGGGCAAGGAATTCCATACATTAACAACCCTCTGGGTGAAGAAATTCCTTCTCAGTTCAGTCCTAAATGTGCTCCCTCTAATCTTGAGGCTATGCCCTCTTGTCCTAGCTTCACCTGCCAGAGGAAACATCCTCTTTACTTCTATCTTATCTATTCCCTTCATAATTTTATATGTTTCTATAAGATCCCCCCTCAATCTTCTGAATTCCAATGAATATAATCCCAATCTACTCAGTCTCTCCTCATAAGCCAACCCCCTCAACTCCGGAATCAACCTAGTGAACCTCCTTTGCACCCCCTTCCAGTGCCAGTACATCCTTTCTCAAGTAAGGAGACCAAAACTGCACACAGTACTCCAGGTGTGGCCTCACCAGCACCTTGTACGGCTGCAACATAACCTCTCTGCTTTTAATTTCAATCCCTTTAGCAATGAAGGACAAAATTCCATTTGCCTTCCTAATTACTTGCTGTACCTGCAGACCTACCTTCTGTGATTCATGCACAATGCAGACTATTAGTGACTAACAATAGGTAGCTTGTAATGGCAGACTACATGATAGCAAAGCCAAGTGTGTGGGGTAGGGGGCTAGGACATGTAAGAGTTCAGGTCCTAAAATTATTGAACTCGATATTGAGTCCGGAGGGCTTCAGGGTCCCCAAGCAGAAAATGAGATGTTGTTCTTCTAGCTTGCACTGAGCTTCACTGGAACACTGCAGCAAACCTCAGGCAGAGATGATAACCAGGGTACAGGGTGGTGAGTTAAAGTGACAGGCAACTGGAAGCTGAGGGTCCTTTTTGTAGCAGAAAGTAGATGTTCTGCGAAGTGGTCACCCAGTCTACGCTTCGTTTCCCCAATGTAGAGGAGACCACATTGTGAGCAGCGAATGCAGTAGACTAGATTGTGGGAAGTGCCGGTGAAGTGCTGCTTCACCTGGAACGTATGTTTGGGTCCTTGGATACTGGGGAGGGAGGAGGTAAATAGGCAGGTTTTACATCTTTGGCGGTTACAGGGGAAGGTGCCGTAGGGCTGCGGGCGGGTGTTGGGGGTGAAGGAAGAGTGGACCAGGGTGTCCCGGAAGGAATGGTCCCTGCGGAAGGCTGACAAGGAGGGGTGAAGTGGGGGAATATGTGTCTGGTGGTGGCATCTCGCTGGAGGTGGCAGAAATGACGTCTGATGATGTTCTGGATGTGGATGCTGGTGGGATGGTAGGTGAGGACAAGGGGAACCCTATCGCTGTTGCTGGAGGGAAGAGAAGGGGTGAGGGTGGAAGTGTGGGAGATGGGTCAGACCTGGTTGAAGGCCCTGTCGACAACGGTACTGGGAAATCCTCAGTTGAGGAAGAAGATGGACATTTCAGAGATTCCCTTGTCAAAGGGACAAATGCAACAGAGACAGAGGAACTGAGAGAATGGGATGGAATGTTCACAGGAAGCAGGATGCGAGGCTGAATTGTCCAGGTAGTTGTGGGAGTTGATGGGTTTATAGTGAATATTAGTGGCCAGTCTATCCCTAGAAATGGAAACGGAAATGTTGAGGAAGGGAAGGGAGGTGTCAGAGGTCAAAGTGAGGGCAGGGTGGAAATTGGAAGTGAAATCGATGAACTTTTCCAATTCCAGACGAGAGAGGGAAGCAGCACCGATGATATCAGCAATACATTGGAGAAAGACTAGTGGGTGGGGGCCAGAATAGGACTGGAACAAGCAATGTTCCACATACCCTACGAAGAGACAGGTGTGACTGGGGCCCATGCGGGTACCCATGGCCACCCCTCTGACCTGAAGAAAATGAGAGGACTTAAAAGAGTTGTTCAGGATGAGGATGAGCTCGGCCAAGCGGAGGAGGGTGGTGGTGAGTGGGGATGGTTCAAGTCTTTGCTCCAGGAAGAACCGGAGAGCCCTAAGACCCTCCTGGTGGGGGAATAGATGTGTAAAAGGATTGCATGTCCATGGTAAAGAAGATGCAGCTGGAACCTGCAAACTGGAAATTCCAAAACTGGCATAAAGCATCAGAGGAATCACCCTGCAACCGCAGGAAGTGCTACACCTGCCCCCATACCTCCTCCCTCACCCCCATCCCAGGCCCCAAGAAGACTTTCCACATCAAGCAGATGTTCACCTGCACATCTGCCAATGTGGTATACTGCATCCGCTGTACCCGGTGTGGCTTCCTCTACATCGGGGAAACCAAGCGGAGACTCGGGGACCGCTTTGCAGAACAC